TATCTTTCTTCCTCTTTTTCTTTAAAAAAAAAGTCTCTTATATGGGATGACTCTCTGGGAAAGGGGAAGGGATATAGGGGGAAATTTAAGTAATGTAAAAACAAAAGATGTCAATGATAATTAAAAACAAAACATAATAAAAAGTTTCATAAATATTACCAAAAACATCTATTTAAAACCAAGAGTAAGCATTACTTACAATGGCAAAACAGGAAAAGCTTTTCCAATAACATCACGGATGTTATGAATAGGAAAGCCCTCCACTTCTCCTACCTAACATCGTTAGACATACTAGCTGCAGTAATAACAAAAAGAGATATTAATGAATAAGCACAGCAAAGAGGAGTCAAAATGGTCACAAAGTGCAGACAATATAGTTTGCTTAGTGAACCCTACAAAAAATTAAGACATCATTTTTGGCTATATATAAAGGCACAAAATAAATCCACAAAAATCATCAGCATTTCTGTATCTTACTAACAAATCACAGGAAGAAAAAATAGGAAGAGAGATTCCATTTCGACGAATAACCACACGCATTAATTAAATATCTAGAATTTAACCTAAGACACAAAAGTACAATTTAGAAACAGTTTTGCCAAAAATAAAAGACAACTTACATAACTGGAAAGACACTCAATTTCCACGACTTTGCCACATCAATACAGTAAAAGTAATAACACAACAAAAATTAAAGATTTCATGGTGAGCCAGTCAAACTGTCAAAGGTGTATTTTACAGCATTTGACAAAATAATAACAAAATTCATTTGGAGGAATAAAAAGTCAAGAATATAAAGGGATATAATGGATAAAAAGTAGGAAGAAACAGGGTCTGGTACTTCTAGATTTTATACCCCACAAACAGGAGTTATCAAAACCATCTAATACTGGATAAAAACAGAGATCAGTAAAAGAGATGACATAAACAAGACTTGGCAGTAGAAATCTATGCAGTGTTCAAAAAACCCCACACCACCAACTACCAGAGAAGGGGCTAATTCACAAGCTCTGCCGGGAGAACTAAAAAGCAGGCGGGACCTCCTCTCCCTAAAAAGGAGAGGTTAAAATCAGCAGCTTGTAAATTACCTAAATATAAAAACTTGCTTGATAAAAAAAAAGTTAGAGAATGGAAGCTTACATTGTTTACAAATATGGACAATCTTAATTATGTAAGATTCAAAAGCTTTCACACCAATAAAAACAATGCTGCTGGAATCAGAAGAAAGTAAAGACTAGAAAGAAACTTTGAATTAAACATCTCTAACAAAAGTATGATACTAAGAACTTATGTGAAATTGACACAGATAATAAAAGCAATTTTCAAAATAAGATATACAAACTCTCAATAGCCACCTAAAAATATCCCAAATCACTAATCAAAGAAATTCCAAATTAAAAAACCTCCCGGAGGTACCGCTGTATACCCATCACATTCACAGAGATGGTTAAGTGGAAACTTATTACTGGAGAAACTGTGGGAGACGGCCACACTAATTTACTGCTTGAAGAAGCAATAGATGGCTTCAATCGTTTTGGGAAAAGCTGGAATTATGGCAGGAAAGTAACTGAACAGTTTACACCACTGTCTCAGAAATATCATCACTACAACCATACTGTAAGGAAATCGACAAGAAAAAGGAGTGGGAAAGAACAAGCATTCACTGAGCACTGACTATGTGCCAGGCACTGTGTTAAGTGTTCTACATACGTTATCTTATTCAAAGCTCAGAGCAACCCTGTGAGGATTTTTATTATTTTATTATAGATCCTGTGAGGGTGCTATTATTTTCTCCATTTTACAGCTGAGGAAACTGAGGCAAACAGAGGTTAAGTGACTTGCCCAGGGTGTCCACAGCTGGTAAGTGTCTGAGGCAGGATCTGAACTCAAGTTACCTCCTGACTCCAGCCATGCACTCTCTCCACTGCCCCAATAAGGAATTCTGAGAAGCTTGGGAAGACTGGAAGGAACTGACTTAAGCTAAATCAACAGAACCAAAAAGAATAAGAACCAGTCTGGGTACAACAATGTCACTAAAAGGAAACCAAGCCCCCCCCCCAGTTCCTGAAAACCAAATGGAGATCCAGAGATCTGACAAGCTCAAGAGGCCAGACAAGGACACACAGCCCCTTAGGAGGACCAGAAGAACATTACACACAATGAGGAGAGTATAAAGTCAACACTGAGAGACCCCAAAATTCTGGTCCGATATGGATTGATGGCTTAAAAAAAACTTTAAAAATAAAAAAAAATGACACCCAAGGTTTCCAACACGGGAGCCTGTGGATTAGCGGTGTCCTTAGAGGATGAGATAAGTTCGGTTTCAAGAAGAGGTCGCAGTGGAGACATCCCCCCAGTCAACTAAAGACAGGAGGCTGGGACTCAGAAGGCGGGGCAGACACTGACCTCGGATTCATCTGTATCAGGGTAAGAGCCGTAGTCATGGGAGGAAATGGGACTGCCAAGGAATAGCATTTAGACAAAGGAGAATGCCGAGGACAGCAGAAAGAGAAGGAACAGTTGTCAGGAGAACCGGGTGTCCAGAATCTCTGAGGCCAAAAGGCAAAGAACATCCAGAAAAAAAGGATGGACAACACAACCAATGGGAGCCAATGTTTCAGGAAGGTAAAAAAAGGACTGAAGACAGCCACCTGAGTAAGTGGGACCTGAGAGAAGAAAGGGGCAGGTGAGGGCATCAGACTGAGGTCAGAGGGAGTGCTGGGAAATGAAAGGACAAATGCAGACAATTTTTTCAAGAAGAGATTATTTACAGCATGACTAGATGGTACAGGGAGGTTTCCTTAAGATCGGGAAGGCCTGATTATATTGAGATCTACTCTAAAATTTTTTTTATCTAAAATTTTCAAATAAATATTTGTTGACCATAGCACTGTTCTTCTGTTACTTATCTCTTAAATTTCAGCATCTATGCAGATACACAGATATGTAAACAATATATAATATACTATATAATATCATTTATATGTATATGATATTCTGCGTATGTTTAATATTACATATGGTACGTATATACATTCATACACATACATGCATACACATACACACACACACACACGCGCACGCGCGCGCCCGCAGAGTCTCCTCATCTACATAAGTTTTGCATCCAGGGGCCCTATCTTGATGCTTCTTTGAATCCCCTCCTGGGCAGTCCAAAGTGGGCACTTAGGGAATATCACCTGAATGATAAAAAATGCAGAATTTTAGGTGCAGAATTCTACAGAAACTTAACCAAGACATACAGTGTCTCGGATAGCCAAGCCCTGCTTGTGATGCAGTATGGCTTGTACTATGGTCTGGAGAAACCAATCAAGGATTTCCAAAGCATTTATTCACTGCTGATGAGAGGAAGCCTGGAACCCTAGGTTCCTATCCAGGAAGGCCTGAACTGAAGGCTCACCTCCAACCCATCCTGGCTGGGAGACCCTAGGCAAGCTGCTTCACCCGGAGAGAACTCAACCACACTAGATGTTGCAGAGAAGGTTCAATCTATGTGAGCAGAGGTCATTTCCTCACCAGGGAGTTCACTCCCTATCCCCAGGATGAGCACACTGCTAAGTGTAGGAGCTATGACAAGAAAAACCTTGCATGGTAGAAAAGAGTTCCTCACTTTGTGTGTGTCACAGACCCCACAGACTCCTCAGAACATTTTTAAACACCTAAAATAAAATACACAGGACTAAAAAGAAACTGGTTACATTGAAAAAAAAGATGTCTTTTTTTTCTGTCCAAGTTCTCAGACTCTCAGACCTGAAATTTAGCAAGAGATCCCCTTCAGAATCCCAGGTTAAACTCCACCCCCCCTTAAGAGTTCATGACCCAGTTAGACACGGCTGAAAAAACAAACAAAACAATCTAAGAAGGAATAAGTGATGAAGTGATAATTACTAGCTCCTGAATGCTCAGAAGACCTGGGCCTTAAAGGAAGAGTGAAACGTGGCTAGGAAGAGACTAGGGGTCCCACTTGGTCGGCATAAAGGGTGGTAAGGGGGGGCAGGCGAGGCCAGCCCCAGCAGCACCCCAAGGGCCAATCTGCCTGCCCCCAGGGTGCCCACCCCCAATGCTCCCTCACCTCTCCGAACAGACAAAAAGTCCATACAGATCCTACCTTCCAGGAGCTGAATCTTTCCCAAGACATAAATATTTAAATACAAGAGCCCTTCCCAGAGCAGCTAGGTGTCGCAGTGGATAGAGCACCGGCCCTGTATTCAGGAGGACCTGAGTTCAAATCCTGCCTCAGACACATAACACTGGCTGTGTGACCCTGGGCAAATCACTTAACCCCACTGCCTGGCTAAAAAAAAAAAAGAGAGAGCCCTTCCCCCTCCCACTCTGGGGAATCAGGAAGACCGGGGACTTGGAATCATGTGCTCAGAGGGATCCCATCTAGGCCAATTCCCCTCATTTTACAATTGAGGAAACTGAGGCCCAGGGTGGACTTCTCCGGGGACTCACAGCTACTGGGTGTGGTGGAATTCGAATTCAGACCTCCCTGAGTTCAAATCCAGCACTCCATGAGTGCTGCCTCACCTCCTCCACTGTAAAGAGGGGGTTGATCCAGATGGCCTCAGCTCCCTTCCAGTTCTAATAACAAAATAATAATAATAATAATAATAAACAATAATCACAGTGGTTGCCATTCACATAGCTCTTGAAGGGCAGCAAAGCGCTTTACAAATACCATCTCATGGACCCTCACAAAGAGGAAACTGAGGCAGGCAGATTGAGTGACATCTGCTCAAGGTCACACGACTAGTAAATGCCTGAGTCGAATTTGAACTCAAGCCTTCCTGCCGAAGGGTGAACACAGCAACAGGAGCACCCCATGCCGAGCAGTCTTTTGCCCTTTGACCTCCCCCACCTAGCCCCCTCCCTGGGCCTCAGTTTCCCCATCTGTAAAAGGAGAAGGCGGGACTCGATGGGGGTCCCTCCGAGCTCGGGCTAGAGACAAAGGCAAGAACGCCTGCCCTCGGGGAGCTTACCTTCTATGGGGCAGGGGGAGGGGTCACAGGGCCAAGCGCAGGCCCGCTCCCAAAGACTCACAAATACCGGGACCTCCCGCCCCCAGCCCCGCCTCCCCAGGAGGGGGAGAGGGACGCCCGCCGCGCACGCGCATACGCCCACCCTCCCCCTCCGCCCGGACAATGGCTCCCGCGGGAGGGCGCGCGCGCACATGAGCAGAAGCACGCGCCGCGGCCCCCACGCACGCGCAGAAGCCAGAGCGAAAGCACGCGTCACTGTGCCCCCCTCCTGTCCCCCGCGCACGCACCCCCTCGCCCCCTCCCTATACCCTCCTCACGACCCCCGGGTCCCGGGCTCCGGGCTCCCGTGCGTTCTCCCCATCCAGGACACTTACGCTCCGACGAGTCCCGGGCGAGAACCCTACAGCCGGAGCCGGCAGACCCAGGGCCGGGAGGCAGCCTAGACCACACCCCGCCACGAGGCCCCCCCCCCCCCGGTTCGGCGCGGCGCCCGACGGGAAACGGACTGCGCCGCTCGGCCCGGCCCGGCCCGGCCCGGCCCAGCCCGCTTCGGACGTCACGCACGCGGAGGGGCGCGCGCTCGGCGGTGGCGGCGACGGAGGCGCTCGCGCCCCCCAGGGGGCGGGGCCGGGCCGGGAGGAGGCGCGAGGAGCTGGGGGATGGGCAGGGCTGGGATAGCGTGAGCGAGAGGTGCGCCCGTCAGGGGGAACTGCAGCGCGAGGCCGGGCTCCCTTTGGGGCCTAGGGCCTCTAGGCCTTAGTTTTACATTCGAGGAAACTGAAGCCCAAAATCCCCACCAGCGTGCATCGTTTAAGCGCCTGCTGCATGCGGGCCGAGCGCTCAGCCCCTTCCTTGGTGAAAGGAAGGCAAGGGGCCGTCCTCTAGGAGCTCACAGTACAATGAATGAAGCCTTTAGTAAGTACCTACTGTGTGCCAGGCACCGTGCTTTGCTCGAGGGATGAAGAGGAAGGCCAAAGACAGTCCTTTACATCAAGGAGCCCGCAGTCTAGTAGCTGACAGTAGGCCAGCAACTATGCACAAACCAGCTGTAGTCAGTGCAAAAGGGGGAGGGGGCATCAGCAAATGCAAGGTGGTGACCCCCTGGGATGGGAAAGGCCTTGAGCAGAAGGCGGGGCCTGCATCGGGACCCTCTACTGCATCCCCTCTGCAGCTTCCCTTCTGCCTCCTTGACCATGTCCCCGAAGAGGGGGGCGGGGGGGGCCACCTGAGGGGCCCCGAGTTCAGCCTCTGTTTCCTCCCTAGGGATTGGCCCCTTCCCACTCTGCATCTCTCGTCTAAGCCCCCTCTTCTCTTTCATCTGCCTGTTAGAATGGAAGCTCCTTGAAGGCAAGGGCTGTTTTCAGCTAAGTCTGGGGCTTAGCACATCCCTGGCTCCTGGCACAAGCCTTAACAGATGCTTATTAACAGGCTGACTTCCTCCAAAACTCTTATCTGAAGCCCCTCCTGATTTCCTAGCTATCACATACATCATATCAATGTACAATGATACAATAGGTCCTGTATCCATAGTGCCTGGAACACAATAGGTGCATAATAAATGCTGGTTGATTGACTTTGCAAGGTCACACAGTATCACAGCTTGAGGTCGGGGATTTCAAGGATCAGTGTAAAGAAGGACAGAGCACCGTAAGACACAACACAGCCTGAGACAAAGTCAGCAGGGAAAAGTAAAGCCGGCCAATAAGGGTGGTCAGGGAGAAGAGAAACAGGGCTGCTGGGGCTCCGGTAGAAGGAGGCACCAAACCCCTGTAAAGACTGATGGATTTTTTTAGGGTTCTTATCTGGGCCAAGCATTGGGAGGAGGATGGAGGAGCCTCGCCCAGTGGCCCGGAGAATATCGAAGTCCTTACATATCAGAACTGTCAGAGTCAGAGTTCAAACCCAGCTATAGAGTTAGAGCTGGTAGGGATCTTAGAGATGGCCTAGTCCAAACCTCCATTTTAGTTTTGTGGAAATAGGCTCAGAGAGGGCACAGGTCTTCCCCAGCAGGCACATGCCATCAACAGCACAGATGGGCTTTGAATCCAGGTCCCGTGGTTCCATAATCTGTCCACTGCCCTACTAAGGCTCACTCGGTGGATTAGCCAATGCCCCACTTTACACATGTCCAATTAGACCTCAGTTACTGGCATGCAGTCCGTGGAACCGTGGACCTGGACTCAGATCTTGCGTGGGCTACTTAACCAGCTTAGCTGTGTGTTCAGCGATGGGCCAATCCAGCTCTTCATCCAGCTTGGTATCAGGGGCTCCCTTGCACCTCCTTCCCTGGGCCTGTGGTTGTCCCAGAGCCCAGCCAGGAGGGCCAGAAGGCAGAAAGACTCACCATCACCATGGACTCTCCCTTCTTCCTTTCCCCCTTTGCCCACCGGCAAGCACCCATCCTGTCTGCTTGCCTGCTTCAGTGGTTCAAATGGCAGCTGGGAACCAACAGCTGTCTCCCTCCGAGGGACATGGAGACTTACCCTCTGCCCCTAGCCCAGTCCTCGAGGCCATACTTTCTGCCCCACAGACTCCCAGCACTTCCTTACTAGCTGCTCTACAGCTGAACTGTGCTTTATGTACTGGCTCTCTCCTCCCCACCCCCTCACCCCTATTGGTATGTGAGCCACCCAACAGCCAATGGAATTTTACTCGTGGGACTGGGCCAAATGCATCAGAGGAGTTGAGACCCAATGGCTCTCCCTCTCCTCCTACTTTCTAAAATGTCAAACCTGCCAAACTCCAGATCCACTTAGCTTTTTCCATCCTCTGGCTCCCAGAGCCCTCAGGCTTCCCAAAGCTACTCAGGTAAACACTAGCCTCCCCTCAAATTCCAAAAATACCTCATTCTCTCCCCCTCTTCCCATCAAGACTTTCATTCCTTCAGTGGTGAAGCTGATAGGAAAGAACTCTGTGTGTAACAATTCGTCCTGAAGTGTGAACAAGCCAATAGGAGCACCCCTTTCCAAGTGGTGTTTTGTCCTTTGACCCAAGTGAAAATATAATTTTTAAGATAGATAAAACATGTTTTTGCACAGGAAAACTTCTGAAATCCACTTGGCTAGTCTAGACTGGCCCATCCATATTCTAATGTGAGAACCTAGAAGGCCTCTGGTTAGAGAAGTTGGGGTGGGGGGACTGATCTGGGGGATGCTAAGTCTTGTAGGTTACTGGCTGCCTAGACAGAAAGCCTCACTTAGGATATCCATCCTGCTGAACGGTCCTTGATAACCAGGCTGCCACTTGAGTCACAGAATAACATGCCTACAAAAACACCCAGTTCTCTTACAGAGTAGCTTGGCTATGCTGTGGATGGAACCCAGTCAACTCAATAAGAGTGAGAAGAGTTCAGCATACTCTGGATGGGCCAAGCGCAGAGAACACCACCTCATGCAGTCATTGTGCCATTTCCTCCTCCTCCTGCTATGGTCTGAAGATCACAGCACTGAAGATCCTGCCTTATCTCTCCAGTCCCTAAGACCTAGCTGCACCCTTTGCTCTAAACCACTCTTCCTTTGCCCATCCCTCAGGCACCTTCTTAGCTTCTCCTTGTGAGTTGAAATTCATCAGTAAGAAAATCCTATTGCTTTTAACGTCAGTAGCTGGTCTGCCTCTTCTGTGAAAACCTCCTAAGTCTCCAAAGCAGCAGCAACAGACTAGGACCCCTACAAATCACATCTTCTTCCTTAAAGTCAGGGGAAGAAGGGGTCAGCAAGGGGTCAGATGTGGCTTCTTAGGAAAACGGGTTCAGAGACAGTGCTGGAATGAACCTCCAACTTCCTCAAGTCCAGAGCCTAGTGCCCCTCAGGAGCTTTGGGGCACACAGCTCGTAAGTAGCAGACGTGGCATCTGAAGTGAGATCCTCTGAATCCAGAGTCTTTCTACTGCACCATGTTGCCGCCGCCCCACCCCCCCATAGGAGTCTGCTAACCTCAAGTGTCATCAGAATGCTGCCAACCTCAAATGCAATGAAATGAAAATTCTGTGTATTTCAGTCTTGGAAAGTCTGTTGAGACAGTAGGGGGAAAAAAGGGTGATTATTGTAAAGACAGATGTAAATGGAAAGGTGTTGGTCCCCATGGAACTGGAAAAGAAGTGGAAAAGTCAGATTTTGACCCTGAACCTCTAGCAACAGGGGTAGGGAACTTACAGCCTTGAGGCCACATACGGCCTTCTAGGTCCTTGGTTGTGGCCTTTTGGCTGAGTCCAAGTTTCACAGAACAAATCATTTTATTATTAAGGAGATAACAAAGAGATTCAGCCAAAGGGCCAAACCTGAGAACCTAGAGGGTCCCATGTGGCCTGGAGCCCACAGGGCAAGTTCCCCAGCCCTGCTCTAGCATCTGCAGGGGCCCTGGATGGCTGATACAAAGATCCAGGTCACTTGACACTTCAGTTCTCTCAGCAGAAAAAGTGACTCACCAGTAAACTTGGTGAATTCAGCAAGCCTGAATTCCAACCAACCCCTGCTCTTCCTTTCCCTGTTTGCCAAGGAGCTCTCTGGTCTTAATTTGGTTAAATAGGCTTCCTCCCTCAGGAAGAAAATGACACATGGTGTGGCTCAGCGTGAACAGCTGGTTTACTTAGTAATGTTTGGGAGGATTTAGAGCTAGGAGTGACCCCATGTACCACAAAGGAGCAAATGGAGGCCCAGAGTAGAAATGGTCACGAGTTAAGTACCAGAGCGGGGATTCAACCCCAGGTCTCCTGACTCCGAATCCAATGCTATTTTATTCCACTAAAGCTGAATAAATGAAAAAACGTTTATTGTTATACAACACATCTTGGGTTAGCTAGGGAGGGAAGGAAGGAAGGAAAGAGAAAGAGAAAAAAGAAAGGGGAAAGAAAAAAGACGAAGGAAAAGAGGAAGGGAGGGAGGGAGGGAAGGAAGGAAGGAAGGAAAGAGAAAGAGAAAGAAGGGGAAAGAAAAAAGACGAGGAAGGAAAAGAGGAAGGGAGGGAGGGAAGGAAGGAAGGAAAGAGAAAGAAAGAGAAAGAAGAAAGGGGAAAGAAAAAAGACGAGGAAGGAAAAGAGGAAGGGAGGGAGGGAGGGAAGGAAGGAAAGAAAGAAAGAGAAAGAAGGGGAAAGAAAAAAGATGAGGAAGGAAAAGAGGAAGGGAGGGACAGAGGGGAAGAAGGAAGGAAGGAAGGAAAGAGAAAGAAAGAGAAAGAAGAAAGGGGAAAGAAAAAAGACGAGGAAGGAAAAGAGGAAGGGAGGGAAGGAGGGAAGGAAGAGAAGGAAGGAAAAGCCAAACCCTGCTCTCAATCAGGGGAGACACAGAAAATGGATGCTGAAGCCCACAGTTCCTGGGGGCACTAGGTCAGATGACAGCCCTACTAGGGGTCTGGAGGATGTAGGCACAGGCTGGATGGTGAGGTCCAGTAGACACGGAGGCAGTGGCAGGTTAGATGGAAAGGCCTGGTCTGCCATCTTACTATAGAAAACAGAACTGGAGGTTCAAGCTTTCCTTGTAGTTTGGTTCTGAGCCACTGGGAGCTGGGGAAGAAGGAAGGGCACAGAGTAAGCCTGGACAACCAATTATGTTATTTACCCCCATTTGCTCAGTAACAATGTCTGTGCATCGCACACATTAGGGTCTTCAATTTTTGCTGAATTTGAATTTGCCTATACTCAGATCATACCTTTCATGTCCACGTATAATAGGTGGACTCCCACACAGGCAACATTCTTTAAACTGGGGGGCTGCTTCTGCCTTGGGTTAGCTGACCCTTGGTTGACCCCTTGACCAACTCCCTTCGGCCCCAAATTCAACACAATTTGGCACTGCTGACTCACTGGCAAAGGCCACTGTCTCTTCTGGATTTGCTTTTATTTTGCAGAATGTCAAGCACATTAGTATTAGTTTTAGCAATATACATATTGATTCTTCTGAGTCAGGAAGAGGGTGGAGAACACAGAAATTACCCTAAAAACCAATCACTGCTCCACAAAATTGCTTTCCAAAATACTTGATGTTTGAGGGGGGACAAGCTCTTTTGATGCAGAATGAAGGCCAAGAATGGGGTGAATGAAGCCAGAGCCTTTACTTACTTCACAAGGTTTGGACGCTTCCTCTGCAGAGCAGGGCACAAGCCCACTGTGACTTGTTCTAATTTTTTCAATATCTTCTGATTTCAGGGTGATTTCACCTTGCTCATTTGATACTTTATTTGATTTTCTGCTTTTTTTTTGGGGGGGGGGTGAGGCAACTGGGATTAAGTGATTTGCCCAGGGTCACACAGCTAAGAAATATTATGTGTCTGAGGCTGGATACGAACTCGGGTTCTCCTGACTCCAGGGCCAGCGCTCTATCCACTGCACCACCTAGCTGCTCCAGCCCACTTCGTCTTAGCCAGCGGACTGAGCATGGTGCCGAGTGATTTGTAAGCTTGTAATAAAGGCTTGTTTCCTGCCTTTCTTAATAGATGGCACAGCTAGGTGGCACGGATTCGATTTGGAGCCAGAATGACCAGTTTCAAATCCTGCCCCAGGCACTAGTAAGTGCCTGTGTGACCCTGGGCAAATCAATTTCTTTCAACCTCCATTTCCTCATCTGTAAAATGGGAAGAGAATTTAGCACCTACCTCCCAGGAATGTTGTGAGAATCAAATGGAATAACATGGAAAACCCTAAAGACACTCTAGCTATTATAATTATTGTTATGGGCCTTTAAGTCAATTAGCCAAAGAGCCAGCCTCCCAGCCTTGAGCTAGTCCAAAATGGTTCCTCGTGGCCACTAAGCCAATGCTCCAACCTTTTCCAGCTTAGCATTCAGGCTCAGCTACTACAGCAGGGTCACCTCTATAAACCGAAGAGAAGTTCCCTTTTGTTTCCCATTACACACATCAGGGGCATTTAGGTACCAGAAAAAGGGATTGGAAGGGCATGATATACAACTCGTAATTTAATAATGTAACCCAGAACATGTAAAATACTGTAAGCTCCCAAGTTAAAAATACCAATTTTTCTTCCAGCAGAATATTTTCTAAGTGTAGGCAAATGATGCAATTCCCCCAAGCCATTCCCCTGTGCTTTCATATCTCATCTCTGCTCTGAACAGCTGTTTGTTCTAAATGTATGCTAAAGATGCAGTTAAATACTCAAATTTAAATACGTAGGTTAAGGAAAGGACAAAGGATTATTTCACAAATACCCCATCGCTCACAATGCACTTGGACACCACACCTTGTTTCAATGATCCACGTTGTGAACCGTCCTCCCTGACCACAACGGATCTGGTATTTAAGGCTTTTCTGCAAGATAGCACAGTGTAGGCTATTTTTTAAATTAATCTTACTTTTTCCAGGTTTATCACAGAATCCATATTGTAAGGAACCTCAGAGGCCAGCGACCTTGGCCATCAGTTTATTTGATAGCTATTTCTAGTGAAGAAAAACTTTCAGCAAACAAGTTAAAAGAAAAAATTTATTAGGTACATTACATTGTTTTGAACTTGAAGAAAACTTTGCAAGTACATTTAAATAGAACACAAGTACTGATGGGCTACAACAGAACCTTAAAGACACTGAAATACAAGGTCATGTTTCTCAACGTGGAGTCAACCTGGAGCTCTGAACTGACAACAATACAAAAGGCCATCACTGCTCCAGACTCCCGGCAAGGCTGCACTTGTGTCTAATTGGATAACCTGGTTTTACCAGTTAACCCCCTAAAAAAAGGATTAGCTCAACTGTTTTTAATTTTCTGTAAATAAATTGACAAAAAGTAACAGTTTTCAAGAAGAAGAAAAGAAAAACCCTAGTGGAAGGCGGTGCTAAAGTACTGCGGGATGGCAAAAAGAAAATCAGTGGATGTAATTTCTTGATATGCAAGTATAACCTCTATGTATTTCAAATGAAGTTTATCAGGTTAGGAGGTTATCTGAGTGTCATAATAAGCACCTTGGTCTGAAGACAGAAGAGAAACAACCACCCATGACATTCTGCCAAGCAATTGTTATAGCACTGTTTAATACACAATTGAAGGAATCCCTGGGACTAAGATATGACCAATTAAAACTATGGAAAACGGCAGGATACAAAGGGAAATCAATCATAAGCCTTAGGCCACAGCTGCAAAGAAATAAATTATCACCATTTAAAGTGTTCTTATTTTCTCCCATCTTGCCTAGCATTCACCACACAAAATTAAAAGGTGGGGAACCTCGTTTGCACTACAGGAAACAAATATGACATTTACCTAAAGCGATTATTCTGTAACTTGTGAGAATAGTATTTGGGGGAAAACAACCCTAGGAAACATTAGGCACATCCAGCAAATTCAGGCACAATTATCTCTGAAACATAAAAATTCAATTCAGACAGACATTTATTAAGCGCCTACTATGTGCAAGGCACCATGCTAGGTGTTGGGGACACACAGACATGAAAATGACAAAGTCCCTGCCCTCGTGAGGCTTACAGTTTCTTTGGAACAAGAATGCAAAATAAGTTACTACACACTTGTGACCGTCATCTTCATCATCTATCACTTTGATCATCCTGAGCACTAGAGTATCTCGGTAATCACACAAAATGAAAAACATTCATACCAAAAAAAAAAATCTCCACACTTCAAAATATTGTCTAAAGTATGATGAAAAAAAGATAAGCTATTCTCCTAGTTTTTTGGAATTATCGATGGATTCACACTCTCCTGGCTCATGTGGTCTCTGGCACCTAGCATTCCAAAGTGACATAGTTCAGTTAGTCCAAACTGCTGTCTTTGGGCCAAACTGCCCCTATGTTAATTACAGTACCTACAGAATTCACTTATTTAACTAAAAGACTAATGAGGTGAGTGAACACGAACTTGGTCTCCAATGACTTGGCTTAAAATACTTTTAAACTAACATGTCTCTAAAGGCTAACAGAGATTGAGCAATGTTAACTCTTGGTAAAGGCAGCAACTGGCTCCTTGCCTTTGCACAAAGAAAGGCTGGCCTAAGGTAGCCTTGAACAGACATCTAAGATTCTTGTTAGACTGAACAGACAGCAGATTATCTTCCCTTTCGAGAAAACTGAGGTCAAAGATGCCTCTTGCACAGAGGAGCCTCAAGATGCTTCCTTACACACACCCCACACCATTCAGCCTCTACTTTTCTCATGAGTTAGCACAAAACAAAAACATGGGACCAGTCCTTAGCCTGGGCCCTCACAGCAAATTTTTATTGTCTATTGTCATTTCCAGACAATATAAAAAACCTGGTATGTCGATGGCCAAAAGTAAAAGAACTTTTGTCATCATTTCCTGAGTTTCACTGGGAATTTGACAGTCGAACTAGATGGGGGAACTAAACGGTGATTGCTAGTAAAATAGAATGCACCAGTCAAGATAGCATTTTTTTTCTTTTAAGAGGAAAGAATGAATGTCAAGCCACTATCAGGGTGAAGCTGCTTTTCCCAATCTGCCTCAAAGCCTAGAATTACAACTTTCTGAGAGTAACTAACTAGTAACAGAAAGCCAAATTTGAAAAGGGGACAAATTAATTTCCTCCCCAAGTATTTTTCTTTCTTGAAAACAAAGTAAAAAAAACCCCTCCAAATTCTTGTGACATATCTGGATTTTTAAACTTTTTCAGGCTTCTGGAGATCCAAAAGGCTGCCACTCTATGCCCATTCAAAGCGGGACAGGGAATTCCTGAAAATGGAGAAGGAGCCCTCAGTAGTGCCAGGCAGTCAGACACCTTTAACAAGAGCTAATGGTTCTCTTTAGTGGGACGAAGCCCAGAAGTGTCTCTGCTGCTATAACACCGAGAGAAGAGAGCCCAGCATTTAAAGGATCTTTTCTTTACTGATACAGTAAACAAATTCACTGGATCCCTTCCTCCTCTAGGGTAGCACAACTGAATAAGCAGAACACACTCACTCTAACCATTCCTCCTCTTGACTGGTTTGACCTTGCAGATGTAAACCTCGAAGCAGCTCTTTGTTATAAAGATGGTCATCACCTTCTTTTACATGTATGTATTTCACACGGCAGGTAATTTCAAACTTGAGCTTGGCAAGTAAAAAAAATGCTCTAAGAGGTAAATGCATTCTCTTCCATTTTATTTAATTGGGGTCCACATAAAATTCTCCTGCCTGTAACCATGACAGATGGCTAAGAATGATTCTTTGTGTGTGTGTGTGTGTGTGTGTGTGTGTGTGTGTGCCCACATGAGCAACAGACATGAAACCCTTTAACAGCACAATGACAGCATGAATGCAATTTCTGCTATTAACCCAAGTGACACTTTGAATGTCTATACCAAATAGGGGGCAATTCTCCATAGCTGATTGGTTTCACTGAGGATGACCCATAATTCTAGGACATTTCAAATAATGAGATGGGTCTCTTTAGCTCAAAAATAACTTCATCTAAATTCACTGGGATAAAAAAAAATACCAATTCTTGGTGGGCTTTTAGTCGCTAGTTTGAAGTTTCAGGCATTGATCAAGGAGAAAGAAGTCACACACTGGGAGGAGCTTGAACCTCTACCTTCAGGATGTACATCTTGTTCCTTAGAACGTCTCGAGTCGGCGCACAGGAAAGTTTAAAAATGAAGGCATGATAACAAAACCCAAGTAAACAGGTCATACACAAAAGACAAAGAGGCTAGAGCACATAAGTCATTTATCTGGAGAAAAACATTTCTGTATGAAGTGCCTTTATTTACAGATGGGCACCAATTTACAAATACACATCACAATGCAAATGAATCCCTGTATTGCTACCTTTGATAATATGTACAAAAGAAATTATACAGCAGTTTAGTACAAGCAGAAATTCTTTGCTATAATGAGGGTACATTTATCCCCTAATTTCGGCTTAAATGTTTCCTGTTTCAACTCTGGCTAAGAGACTGTTGCACACTTAATTTTTCTAATGTTTCTGGGTGCCTTTTTCAAAGCCTCTTGTGGTCTTGAGAAGCATCCTAGAGATTTCCAGGGAAGGGTCTTTTTGTTTGGGTGGTCTTTGCTCTAATACATTTGCAGGGTTTCCTTTGTATACAAGAAGATGCACAGGATTTAGTTTCTAGCTAAGTATGAAAGACTAGGTTGTGGAAAACAAATGTTTGCACCCTCCTAAAATAAGTGAAACAGTCCTGTATTCTATGCTTTCTGATAACAGCTCTATGGGTAGCATGGATGGAACATAGCTCCATAGCATTTCAAGTTTGTGGAGCTATGTTACATTGACATAGAAATAAAAAAGAATCACTTGTAACGAGATCCTTAGATGTGCCCCAGAAATGCAATAACCGCCTCTCCTTCAATGAAAGCTAGTGGGAAGATTAATGAAGAAGTGCTGGAGAAGGGACCTGGTTTTGGGGGAAGATGACATTTCTGACCAGTGGTGGGTAGAAAGGATACATAAAGATGACACTGACCTTTAAATCAAGGTGAAAGGTCCTCATTTTTTTTTTTTGTAAGTTCATTATGAAAACATGACCCACTGTCATGGGTGGTCCCTGAATGTGAATTCTAAAGAGGCTTTCCCCTTGACGGGAGTGGCAATACTTTGAAGCTAGCGAAGATTCCACTGAGATCCCTGGACAACCCTATCCAGAAGCTGGATCCTCACCAAATGAAGGCACCCATTTGTGAGATGAAGGCAGTTCTTGACCACGTGGGCCCCATTCAGGGAAATGAGCAGCTCCTTTGGCTTCCAGGGTCTCTCCCAGGGCTAGAAACAGTTAGTCCAACCCAAGAGCCACTTACTAGGCCTCTCCTCGATGTGAGGCTATTTTCCTTCCAAGGGTTTCATACTCTCCAAATGAATTGGCCTGTGTTTTCTGACCTTCAGGGATTACTTCTATGAGTCTCCCCAAATTACTGTTTTCAAAAGAGAGCAATATTTGATCACGATCGCCATGGTGACACATCTCAGGCATTTATCAAACTGAACCAATCACCAAATTTTCATCCATAAGAGAAAAATCCCACTAATAAAACTTCTCGTTTTAAAACCTACTTTCTTGTGACATGTTTTTTTTTTTTGAAAGAAAGGTTTAAGCATCGAGTGAGCCAATGTAGCCAAGCTAAACAAGGAAGCCCTAGCTAGCTTCCTTTAGAATGAATGTCACAATTAGGCACATACAATCTAAGGGGAACAGACTTACAACGAAGAGACTATTCACAAACGGTGCACAGGTGTGTAGGAAGGTGGGCGACATGCCACAGTCTACACAGTCCTACCCACACCTGTAAAGGTCACCTCCCCCGACGGCCTCCCTTGGGACAAGAGCCGGAGCAACATCACATCATTATTACCACCAGTCAGAAAGGGTGCTAACAGCTAGTAAGGCTTTGGACATTTTACTATTTACAGTTTGGAGACGGGCACTGGCCCACGTCAGGGAGGCACGGGAACTCTCATTTGCATATAACACGTAAAAACCAAAAACCAGAAACCTCGAGTGTCTGTTTGGAGCCCTTGGAAACATTTCCATTTGTGGTGGAAGCAGCTGTGGCGGCGGCTTCTCCGTGGCTTCCTAGCCTTATAGTTTAAAGCACTTTTCATTGTATCTGTGAATAGTCACGCAGCCATGATAGGACACCGGCCGCGGCATGGCGGCCACCCCAGTGATAATACTAGTGGCAGGATCATAACATAGAATTGTGTCTGTCGCTTCTCCATTTTCTCGTCTTCCACCCAGGATATAGATTTTGCCATTACACACAGACATACCGCAGTTTTCCTGTTTAATCAAGTATGTGAAGAAAAAAAATGAATTATTCGAGTAGTTGTAGCTAGAAGCAGATGCCATAAATAATAACAATAATGAGTACTTATATAGTAATTTAAGGTTTGCAAAGCACTCTACAATTACCCACTCATTCTCCTGAGAAGTAGGTGCTGTTATTATCCCCATTTTACAAATGAGAAAACTGAAGGAAAAAGAAGTTAAGTGAGTGCCTAGGCTCACACAGCTGGTAAGCAAATGAGGCTGGATTTGAACTCAGGTCTTTCTGACACTGGAACCATCTCTTTGTGCACTCTGGCCCTTCTTAGCCGTCATTGTGCTACGTGGTTACCAAATACCTGATAAAAACTGTATGATCTATGGCAATTCTCTAATAGATGTTTTATAATATGCAATTCATACACACACACACACACACACACACACACACACACACACACACACACACACACACACACACACATATATATGTATAATTGATAGTATATAACATACAATTTGTTTCTGTTCCAAACAAAGTTTAGAAGTTAATTGTCTACATTTAGTCTCAAAGATTAAGCTGAAATTCAATAAATACAGCTACTGGATGTATAAAAAGGAAGTGGCACTATTTTATAGCATCTACTGGAGAGACATACTCATTAGGAAATCAGATTTCTATTCCTGAGAAAAGACTATTAAAATCACTATATGACACTGGACAAATTACTTTATCTGCACAAATTTAAGACTATCACTTTCTTCCTCAAAAGAGGTTAACTATCTACTTAAAATATTAAAAAGTAAAATGACTTTCAAATGAATTTGGATCATTACAGCCTTGTCTATATGACCAATTTCATTACATGATGAAATTGCTAAATTTACATATAGTAAACACCAAATGCCAGCTATAATGATGGAAAGGAGTTCACTGGAACATGCTTTTCCTTCTTTTGACTTCCAGTCTGTAAGAACTGGAGATGAGGACGAGCAGATAAGTGTACCGCAAATAGATAAGCAAAAAGGAAATGCTCCCCGAGAGAAGGAAAAGAGGGTCATGAAGAGAAGCCCTTCACTCTTATTGTCTTTGTTCCTTTAAGCTTTTGGCAAGCTGTATTAAAGCTGTATTACCATGGTGCCTTTAGGAAGTTTAGGGTGGGTGGGCGGGGGTGTGTGTGTGTGTGTGGTGTGTGGAGGGTTGCACTTATTATGCACTGGGCACTGTGCTAAGTGCTTTAAAAATATTACTGCATTAGATTCTCAACAATTCTGGGAAACACATGCTATTACAACCCTCTTCTACAGTTATGGAAACCAAGGCAGACAGTGGTTAAGTGATTTACCCCTGAGGCCCTGTATTCTATACTCTGTGCCACTTAGTGACCTCTGTATACAAGTAAATCATGTGTATATGTGTACACACATACATGTACATAGAGACACACAGACACATGTATTTGGTGGGAACAGCTATGACATTTAACACAGCTAAAGCGAGGCCAGAGGCCCTGGAAGGGGACACGCTGTTTTGTGATCCCAAGCCTACAGGTTCACTGTTCATCATTACAGAGATGGCCCGAGAATGGCCAGGAGGCCAGCGGGGGATGAATTCCCCCGAGATGCCCTGCTCTGTCACTCTGTGGGTGGGCTGGGACATCCAAGAGGCTTCAGAAGAATCTTTTCAGCTGGATTTCATATTCTTCACAATGAGATTTTACCTGAATGACCATCTTTCTTGGTTTCAGTTGCCTAATTAAGAATCTGGGGGCTCATAAGTGTTTCCCGCAGGCCTAAGATTCTGCGGATCACTGACATGAAGACTCAGTGGTGTGGGCCCCTCCAAAGAAAAGAACTAGAATCCAATCGAGCTGTTTAAAGTGCCTCATTCTTCCCTAATCTACCCAAATTATGTCACTGTTTATAGCTCTGTAACATGTAAAGGTAATGAGGAATTATACTTTATCAAGTAAAGGCATTTAGTAAATATATTTTATCCCATAAGACTAATTAAAGTCACAGCCTACTATCTACCTCAACATTTTATAGAAAGTTTTTCAGGGTACAAAGTACATACCTTAAATCACTGGTACCCTAAAAGACACATTTTAAAGAATCTGTGAAATAAGATGGCACCACCCCTCTCTCTCCCACTGTTCGAAATAATTCATCATTCCTTTAAAGTGCCTACATTAGCTTTTCGACCAATGAAATTTACCCACAATGGCCCCTTACTGTTATCACCGTGTTGCTGTGAACATCTGACTAGAACACAAATTAAAAGTTGTTTTCAATCTTAAGACAAATCATTGTTACTGGACATTTGCCACATTGGGGGGGTGGGGGTGGTGCAGGACTGAGCAGGCCCTATGTGGAAGAGAGGAAGGGGCATGGTGGTTGGGTGAAGCCAAGAAAATCTGGGTTAGAGGAAGGACTGGTGGAAGAGGGGTACCAAGTTTGGGGCTGAGCAAGGAGAGCCTATGAGGAATGCACGGAGGAGGGAGCAGAGCTCGGTAGGCTCAGACTGATCACATTATAGTGAAGGTTTCAGGAAGTGAGAGTGGGGGTGGGGAGCAGGGTTGGTCCTCTCCACATGACTTCTGACCCAGCCACTGGGCCAAGACTATCCAGGGTGTGCTTGTGCTCAATGAGCCTCCAGATCACGTTCAGGTCATTAGAACCCAAGGTGTTGAGGAATACCAACTTCCACAACAACAAAATGACTGAAACGGAAAGCTGTGATTCACTGAGGCCACACTGGCGCCCAAGAAGAGCCCCAAGAAGGCAGCCCTGCCTGTTACCAGCAGAGGACGACGCCGGCTGAGGAGCATGGGGCGCATCATCAGAGACCATGTTCTCAGAGACCCCAGTTATTTTTGCTGAACTCTCTGGGCTGTCAGGGATGGCTCAGGGTTGGGGAGGGGGGGGCGGTGTGGAGAAGGAGAAGAATGTAAAAACAAAGATAGCAATAAAAGTGTATTGCAAAAATAAAAACCAGTTCTTTAGCAAAAAAACTTAGTCTTAAAAATGCAGGCACCATATCCAACTTACATAGGGGCAGTCTATATGTAAGTCTGGTGCCCAGCACCTGGAGTTTTCCCCCCAAAGCAATAAGGGTGGGGGGGGAGGGAGGGGAAGGAAGGAAGGAGGAGAGGGAAGGAAGGAAGGGAGGAAAGGAAGGAAGGAGGGGAGGGAGGGAGATAGAAAAGAAGGAAGGAGAGGAAGGAAGGAACGAGAGAGAGGGAGGGAGGAAGAAAGGAGAGGGAGGAAAATGGCTTCTTTGAAGGGGTGAGTCCTTGACCTCCAGAATATGTGTGTTTTTATCTAAGAAAGGGCAGGACTTTTTTAATAAAACCCTAGAGAAATAGTATAACCATACTGACATTCACAGTGTTTTAAGGTTTACAGAGCAATTTACCTGCCTTCTTATTTGAGCTCCCCAACCACACTGAGGCAGCCACAGTGGAACTTCTTTTTCCTCACTCAGGGTGGGGGGAGGTAATAAAGTATTATTTCTCTCATTTTAGAGAAAAGGGAACTGAGGTTTAGAGAGGTGCCCTTACAATATTACTCGCGTCCAAAGACATGTAGATAATAACGGCTGAAGGGAACAGACAAACCCACCCAGTTCTGTCCTGATTGTAAGCCCGGTGCTGGAATAGCAAGTTACAAGCCGATACCCATGCTTTGGCTGATTTCAAGTACTATATTTTATCCAGATGGTAAGAAGTACAAACAGAGTTTGGTTAAGTTCTCACGCATGGAAAGAATCTAGTGGACAAGACGGGAGACGTAGACTAAATACTAAAAAGGATTAGGGACGTGGTTAAGAATGCTATTTAACAGAAGTCAAACGGAGGGGTCTCTAGAAAAGGGCTTTTAGGCTCTATCACTGGCCCCTGACTACTGAATATTTATTTCTACCAATGACTTGCACAAAACCATAGACAGAAGGGACAGCTAATGCACTGGACAACAGAACTGGGAAATGAAGACATCACAGGCTAGAATGTGAGGCTGAGCTGAAATTTAATAGGAAAAAAATGACTTGCACTTGAGCCCTCCAAACAAGCACTAGTACAGGGTCAGGGAGAGATGGCTGAAAGTTATTTCATGTAAAACAGGTATGAGGAACGGATGGTGGTGAGCAAGTTCCATGAGTCAGTGCAGTGATGGGACAACCCACTGAGCAACCTGACCTAGGGGGCAGCAGCCACAGGCCTGAGAGCCATTTCATACTTTCTCCTTTTCATGGGCTGCAATTAAATGAAAATAGTCCCCTTTGGCAGCAACTACAGAGATGCCTGTGGTCCTCCCAGGGAACGCACATGAGATGCAATGGAAAGGTTCTGGAAGCTGGTCCACCTTGACATTACTCACTTCTGGTGACCCGTGGAAAAGAAAAAGGTGACAGCACCAGGAGGGAATGAGAAAGCCTTATGGAGCGGGCAAAGACCTCAGGGGCAGGAGGGGGGCGTCTCTGCTGACTGATGGGGGGTATTCCATAGGAGAACAGCAAATCTGGGAAGCAAACAGCTGGCCAAGATGTTTTGTGAGAATACGGTTTGGATTCATCCTCTATTCAGTTATCAAAGTGATCTCCCTAAAACATAAGGCCCACCATGTCACATCCTACTCAGTAAACCCTCGTGACTCCCTATGACCTCCGGGAACAAATACAAAAATCCTCTGCTTGGCAGAAAGCCCTTCATCATCCGGCCCCCTCCTACCTCTCCAGGCTCCTTATGCCCTACTCCCCAATATGTCCCCTTGGGCCCAGTGACGCCGGCCTCCTGGCTGTTCCACCAACGAGGCCTGAGCTCCACCTCTTCGCTCTGGCATTCTTCCCGGGATGCTCTTCCTCCTGACCTCTCGGCTTCCTTCAAGTCCCAACTAAAATCTCACCTTCCCAACCTCTCTCAAGGCCAGCGCATTCCCTCTGTAATGGTTTACCAGTTTATCCTACAGAGAGCTTATTGGTATGTATGCTTGCTCACTGTCTCCCTCGTTAGATT